GCCGTTCCATACCCAGCCTCTAGCCACGATTTAGGCATAACACTCAAGTCAGCACCTGAGTCTAAGACAACTTGATAGTAGCTGCCTTCAACAAGTGCTTGAACTGCTGATGTCTGATTAGTCTGCATGCAACTTTTGTTCTCAACAGCCCATGCCTCCAGTCTGCGAAGCCGCGAGGTGATGCATGAAGCATATGGAGACGCCCGGTTTTGCTTCGTCCCGCGAGGTCTCGGTCAGACGGATTTTTGGCACGTGTACATGTAACACTGACAAGCAACGTTTCAACATGATGTTCCAGCCAGGCAAGTCAGGCTGGTCGCTGCGTTTCTTTGAGGCTGGGTGAGCAGGGGTTGAAACGCTGGCGTTTGGTTTGGTATCACTGCGCAGGACCAGCCGGCATTGGACCCGGTACAAGTAATCGGATCAACACTTGCCAAGTCAACTAGGTTTTTAAGATTCCGCTCGCTGTTTTTGTCCCTTTCTTCTAGGTGTTAGGTGCCCCGCAGGTCTAGGACCTAAGAGCCCGTGTGGGTCGAGTGTACCAGCGTGCCAGGGAACATTCCCGCAGGATTAGCACCGATACACATTCGTCTGAACACACTCAGGCAAGTCGCGATAACGTGTCCCAATGTGTCCCAAGTTTCCTAGCACAGCATTCTTGTAGTGTCCAAGAGCTTGACATAGCCTGACATAGCTGCAGTACCTTTCAGGTGCTCTTTGCCGGCTGCATCCCAGTGATGATCTCGGACAAGTGGGAGCTACCTTTCGAGGCACCATGGGCGAGCAGTTTTGGGGATGCCTTTCACTTCATGGGACGTCTGGAAGACTCAATGTAGATTCTACAAAGAACAGTGGAGCACTACTCAGACCGATCCGCACCTGTGCCCGCGAGCAGTTGTGTGCCCAAGCAAGGATTTGCTTTCCAATCTGCCTGCTGGAACGCTCAACCATGCCGTATACCTGTTGGACAATACTTGTAGCAGAGTCAAGCATGTCATGATGAGCCGCGCTGGAAGGACTTCCTGGATGTCACCAGCTTTGTCATCAAGTGGCCCTCGACGCAGATTGGGCCACAGCGCCCTGGTCATGTTGGACGGTTCGAGACACTTGCTGTAGGATTCGGATTGAAAATTCTGGAGGGCCCTCAGGTCTTGACAGATCCTTGTGTCCCAGGTGTGTGACTTATTTCGTGCTGCGCCTGAATGAAACGATTGATCGTATGTTCGGATCGGCAAGCCCCTACGGAGAAGCCAGATAGTTGCATTACGCGTCATGCTACCTCATCTGACCCCTTAATCTTCTGCAATTCCTAGTGCAAATTGTCAGAACATGGGGAACCGAGGCTGTTGGCCTACCTTCGGTCACTTCCAGACAGCATAGTGCAAGGCTACATGGACGCCGCTGCAGCCTTATGCGAACATATGCTTCAGCTTCTGCTACCGCATTTTAATTTGTTGCATGCATGCATTCGAACAGCTTGAGGCGCAGCGCATACGCTGCTGGAGTTTTGGGCTGCATTCAGGTCGTTCCTCAAGACTTCAACTGTAACCGTAGAAGAAGGCAGATGTCTTCACGCGAAGGATGCATGATTTTCAAGATGCGTGCCATCCAAGGTACTTCTACCCGCCAAAGGCTGCACATGCCTTGCCGCCACTGTATGCATGCATGCACTTGTGGTGCATGTTTCGAGCTTGACAAGGAAGTGATATTGTTGAGCTCGTTCCTGCTGGGGCTCGTGAGCTTTAAACTTCAAATGACAACAATGGATCCTGATATTGGACACGCAAACCAACACCCATACCTGACGGCTGACAGGCTAAGAGGTAGTTCTTCATTGTCCACATACTAGTTGCAAGAATGCAAGGGACTCGAGAGACATGAGAGACGAGACAACCAGCATGTTGGAATGAGACCCGGACGCAACGCCATGGTAAGCTGAAGCATGGCCCAGAAGAACCAGCCGCAGAATCGCCGTCACTCGCAGGCCAGAGATTGACAGCCAGTGCCACTGTCAGGGTTCTTCTTTCTTGACGCGCCAGCTTTACGATCCGAATGAAGTGGTCGACAAGACGGTGCGTGGATCTTGGGCTGTCTGTGCTCCATTTAGTCAGCAGCAATGCATTGACGATGCTTGTAGGTGAGCGCCTCTCTCATCAACAAGCCCATGATCAGACACAGACAACAAATGCCGTAATGTGTTCCTTGCCATCTGCTTGACACATTCGATCATAGCGGGGATGTGTGATGTGGGACGCTAGTGTCTGGAACGGACATGTGAAAATGCTTTCAAGATCTTTCAACGGGATCCAGCGCACAGACCAAAGTGAACGGCAATATAAAGCGGAAAAACACTGGATTTTGATTTCAAGGTTTAGTTAAAATCGATTTCAAGTCCTGCTTTGAGCAATCTGGGATTCGGATATTTGGTCACTTGAAATCGATTTTAAATGGTTTTTGGGGGGAAGCCTTGTAAATGACATAAAAAGCGATTTTAACCTCCCAATCGCATGGTGCTCCAGCTTCCAGAGACTTGAAATCGTTTTTAATTGTTTTGCTAGTGAGGTGGCTCTTAAAACCAATTTTCAGCTTTTATTCTATGACAAACGCTTAGAATCGCTTTCAAGTCTTGTTCGTATGAGAGACTTCTTGTACAGCTTAAAACCAATTTCAAGCTTATACTCCATGGTAAAAACTTGCAATCGATTTCAAATTATCCTCATGCAAGAGTTTGTCCCATAGGTCTTAGAACCAGATTTAAGTCTATATCCGTGGTAAAAACTTGCGACAACTACGTGGGGCTTGTGGAAGGAAAGCACACCTTAAGACCCTGCTACACTCATCTAGAAGCTTTTGTGAGATTCAGAGTAACAAGAAACAAACGTATAGAAAGGCCCCTACTAAGTTTGAAGTAACAAGAAAAGAGACGGTCCCTTTCAAATCTACAGGGCGCCAGCTAAATGAGATGGATTTCCAGGAGCATTCCATTTCCAATGAAGTCCCTTGCAAAAATTAGCAGCCCCTGAACACTGCCACTAAACATGAAATTGACATCTAAAAGGGTTCATTTGCGAAGCCTGTACGAAATCCTAAGTAACAAGAAGTGACTTACACATCGGGTCCCTTATAAGTTGAAAAACAATGCCAGGTAAAAAAAAAAAATGAAGGTGAGTTCCATTTCCAAAGGGCCTCTATGAAACGCCAAGTAACATGAAATTGCACGTGCATCTGGTCCCTTGCAAACCTAAAGGCCCCTGATCAATCCCAGTTAAGAAGAATGACATTTAAGAGAGTTCCTTTGCAGAGGTCCCTACGAAGTCCCAAGTAACAAGAAATGACTTACACATCGGGTCCTGTTCAAACTTCTGCACAATGCCAGGGAACAAAAGATTTGAAGGGAGTTAGGAGAAATGACATGGAGGTCTGGTCCATTTCAAACCTAAAGGCCCCTTAAACGAAGCCAGGTAAAAAAAACATTCACTTCTGGGAGAAGTCCCTTTAATAAGCCCGGAGGAACAAAAAAACCTTGGAGCAGAGTTCCAAAGTCTGCGCACAAAGGCCCAGAAAGCAGCTTCGCTAGAGCCAAACAAACAGTGGTTGCAGCTAGTAGCTATGAGGCGGACATGGAAGACTGAAATTCTATTTCAAGTTGCCCTTGGAGAACGCACCCAAAAAACACTTCAAATCGATTTTAATGCCGTGGTTGTGCCTGGACATACCGCCCTTCAGGGACTNNNNCCCCTGGCTGACTACAGCATCCCCTTCAAGCATGACTTGAAATCGATTTAAAGTCATATCTGATATCAAAATCCAGTGTCATCCATATAAGGCTCAGTCCTCCAAACTCCAGTGAAGCGCGCGCAGGATTCATCTTTAGTTTCCAGGGCCTTCAGGCCTTGCAAGCAGTGGACCTGAGCCAGTGGCAGAAGCTGCAACGGCCCGAGGCTGCAAGCCGAGTCTGTGCTTCTCGAAGACACCGAGCTGAAGCGAGCCTTCAAGGCCACGTCAACGTCTTTGAAAGGTCATTGCCGTCTGTTCTACACAGCAGCATCAGCATACTTACATGGTATGTGTCACATCACAACATCCCCCATCACTTTGTGGAAGTTTGAAGGGGAGGCACTTGCATCAGGTTTACTCGTGCCATGAAGAAGTAGGGTCTTGGATGCCGGCTCGGGTGCAGAAGCGTCGTCTGCAAGGATGTCACGCGTGATGGGCGCAGAGGTGTGCAGGGTGTCTACACTCCATCTGGAGGCAGGGGCGCCCAGATTGCTTCACAGGATCCAGGTGAATACCGCATTTACTCGTGACACAGTCCTAAGTCACATCCTAGAAACATGATCAGTAGTCCACAGTATTCCATGTCTACATGAGCCTTCATCTCCTTGTCACGCTGCTGGACTGAGGTATTATGGATGACAGGCCCAAAGAGGTGTCGCCCCCAGGAAGTCTTGCACCACGCCGCGCTGCCGTGGTCGACTTGAGAGACCGCAGGGTTCCGTGAAGTGAAGACACGCAGGCTTCGCAGCAGGACGAGCGAATCACAAAAGTGGCCAAGCAGTACAAGGCCCTGTGCGTTGTGCAGTGCGTAGTAACGGCGTAGTAGTGGTTGTATGGTTTGGCCGATGGAGCAGCGGAGCAGCTTGCAAGGCACAGAAAAAGAAGCAAAAGAGCCAGGCCAGCAGGCTGCAAAAGTCGGAGCTCGACCTTGAGGACCTACATTGACCTACATGGTCTTACATTTCTGAATTCTGAAGCATTTTACACTCGGAACGGGGAGATTTCTGTCTCCGAGAGGACGAGAAGGTCCGGAAAAAGGTGCGGCTCTCATGGGATTCGCTTCCAACTGAAGAACCATGTCGCTGGAACTGGAACTCGGTGCAGCAGTACTAGGACACCTGATCCGTTAAGCTGTGGTGCTAGGGGGGGCTCTAGAAGGTGCCAGCAAAGCACTTGTTGCACGCAGCCAACAGGGATGTCGTTCTTGAGGCTGTAGGTTTCATGCTGGTACATGTCTGAGGCCGCCTGGAAGAGCTTTTGTTGTTTCGTTTGCTAAAATCAAAGGGAGATTTGGGTGTCAGACAATCATCCAGATTCCCATCAGCCACAGAAGAACTTATGGCCGCAGCGCCCTGTGATTCCAGACTTGGACGCTCACTAACTTACCATCGGAACCAAAACGCGATTCTTTTTTGTCAGTATCAAAGACAGGGTCCCGTGTTTTTTTCCTAGGGTTGGCTCTGCTTGGGCTCTGGAGTTAGGGCTGGCCCTGGTCCTCTGGTCCCCTGGACCCGTGGTCCCCTGGTCCTCTGGTCCCCTGGTCCGCTGGTCTTTGGT